GGGCGTGAGTAAGCCGGCTCTTGCGGGCAAGGAAATTAATTCGTGGAAAGGGACGCGGCGAAAGAAAGGGGAGGAACGAAATCGAGAGAAAGAAAGACCGAGGGGGCGCGCCTCGCGGACAAGCGGCGAGGGCTGGCGCGACGGAGGGCCGGGGCGGAGAGACGGCGAGTCGGGAGCCGTGGCACGGAGGAATGAAATCGTCAAGAGAGAGGAGGAACGGATGTAGGGAGGTGTTTTTATGAAAGGCGAGCAGTGTGCGTTGACGTCAATTATATAGGTGGCCACGGCAGATAGCCGTCGCGTCCGTGCACGAACCCCGGTCTTCTCCTTAATGGGTTAGGTTTAGGTCGTCGGAGAGGTTATCGGTCTCTTCCCTCTCCTCCCACCTACCCTCCATCTCCGTCGCCCTCGCGTGTTTCGCTCTCCACCGTTCGCTTAGGGATTTTCAACCGTAGATAAGTCGAAACGAGAAACCAAGTTTCTAGCTTCTTGGCTGACTCGATAGGGGAAGCCCGAGCAAGGGTTGGGTCTGGGGGTTGGACGTGCGCTATTCAGCAGGTCAGAGGGAGGATTAGGTGTGCCAACGACACGCCGCTGCGACGTGGACCTGGAGGAACTCCGACGTCAGAGTACGCCGTTGCCTGGGACACTCGGAAAACTCGGCTCTCCGCGCGTTTCCTTGATCTCGGTGAACGAACCGGAGATAGCCGGGATCCGCCCGGGGAAGCGGTTCCTGGGTGTATCTGCGAAGTTTTGGTTGGATGGTCGGCTGTAACGGTGCTCGAGTGGGACTGCTGGGTTTGGAGTCAATGATTAGTTTGATATTTGGGCTGGTGCGGTGGGTGGGTTGGCTTCAGTCGAGAGCTTTGTGACTGTGAATTTTCATTTGACGATTGGATGTTAATTAGTTATATGAAAGATTCATTGAATTGTTTAGTGTGTTTTCTTAGGTATTGTTTGTCTTTGGTAATTGCTATTGGGTTTTAAATGTTCTTCTTACTGTAGGTTGTTTGTGTAGTAATTTTGCAGTGGATGTAGGTAGACGAAGCTATTTCGGGTTGATACGATGATTTCGAATTTTTGTGTAATTGTGAAATTTATTTAGCGACAATATCTTTGCTAGCAATTTAGTAATTCTATAATAAAGAATTGTATGCTTTTAACTAATAATATTCTTTATCGAGTATGTAATGTGATTATTGCGAATGTTAAGCACGTAAAAAAGTTGAATGCTCTATTTGACCTGGCGAAATTATACATGGAAGTTAGAAGAAATAGTACTTGCTCTTTAATCCGCATGGCAAGTATGTTGATTAATCTGCTGTGATTCATACATACTTGGAAGAATATATTAGTCTTTGTAGACGCGCAGTTGTTATGCTTGAGCTACCAAGAGGTGTTCAGAAAGAAGAAGCTTTATTCTTGAATTATGTTTCTTCAAGTTTCTTATTAAAAAAGATATGTAAATAGATTTCATGCTGAAACCTTAAACTCCAATAAACAAATTTCACTGAACTTATTAGATGAAAATAAGAAGAAAATTATGTACGAATAAATGATCCAATAAATCAAGATTTTAAGATAGCAGAAAGACAATGAGAAATAAAATTCAACTACCATATTTTCTCATTACAATTTTTCATCTTTAACTTAAAGTACCGTCCGAACTCACTACTTCTCTACTTTACTACCTTCACTACTTCTTTCCCAAGCATTAATAAAAAAGCACAAATACCGAAAAATACAATAATTCCCAAAACCAAAATCTTCAACCCCCGGAATCCACCTTAACCCTAATATTGGCAACCTACATAATTCCAATCATTTATATAATCAAAAATATTCTAACCCTAAAACCGAAATAAACGCAGAAATTTTGTCTATCAACATAAGGGTTAACCAACACTATCCTCAAAACCCTCGCGACTAAACAAGTAGAGAAAGGATCGCAGGGTTTTCGGCGCGGCTCAGTCGAATGGCGTAAAAGGTTAATTGGAATTTCAACCGGGTCCCGTATTATGACACGGCCAGTCGGGGATCGAGGCTTGTTGACGTCTCCTGACGGAGAGCCGTTTCAATTTTTCCGTCGTCGGTCCGCAGCACGCGTGGAACGTGGTGGTCAGTGTGTGTGCGCGTTGCAACAGAGTGGGAGAGGTGCGCAACCCGAGGGGTTATCAGCGGCCTCGCCGCGCGGCGCGTACCTATATCAATCCTAGTCTCTTCGTTTCACGTATCGTACGCGGCTCGGAGAGATCGTTGCGCAGGAGAGCCGGGAGCCGCTCTCGGATTTCTACGCGCGATAATTTTATGACCGTAAGCACGAGAGAACCGGCCCCGCTTTTATGGAAAACTTTATCGGCATCCACGGGCGTTGCGTCACGAGGTCGATCGGGGGACTCTCCTCGATCGTGATCCGCTGGATCCTCGGACGATTTCGCTGGTGGGTGTCGATCAACAAACCTCCCGCCCCCCCTACTCGTTTTCTCCGAAGCTTCATTTCCTGGTTCCACGGTTCGAGATGTACACCGAACCTCCATTTACGCAGCACTTTTTTTACGCGGCACAACTTTAACGCTGAATTTACTCTTGTAAGATATCATTATTTCTTTTGTTAACCCCTTGCCCTATGATTTCTTTCTTAACTTTGATTGATACGACTACTTTGTCATGAATAATTTATTGGGAAAAGAGAAAAATTCTAGGCATTCTCCATGTATATTTTTACTTGTAAGTATAATAATCGATTGCAGGAGAATAATATTTACTTTGACTTCGAGTGAATTGAGTAATATTTATGTTCGTTAAATTAGATTGAAAATTCTCACAAGTGTAACGCTTGTTCTAAACTAAGGGGTTAAGTTATGTGAGATAGATATGTGTATCTGAAACTTATACCAGCTTTTTTCCAATATTTTGTTTCCCTTTTTATTGGCTGACTTCATTCACGCGATTTTCATTCGCGTATCCGAATCCGCGTGGAACGTATACTTCGCGTAAATACAGGGACGGGTGTACAGAACGCGTTGGAATGACGTATACGGTTGGGCTTATTTGACAAATTAATCCTTATAGCGTCGACCAACGATAGATAGTTATTGGCAATATTTAGTTTATCGAATTGGAAAAGAACATTACAAAATAAAGGGAAAATAAAGAATTCCACGTGCGTTTTAATACTGGAGAGTTGTCTCACAACGCGGATAGTTATTCTCCATCGTATACATGATATACTGACTCATCATATTGCTCTTATGAATTAAATACTATAAAAAAAATCAATAAAGAAGAGGAAAACAGAAAATATCTTACAAACGAAAAGTCGTACAATTTGCATAGTTTTGACAAGAACTATAATAATTTAATTTTTTGGCAGTAAACGAAATACATTTGCCAGAAAATGATATTAGAGATAAGACCAAACGAATGAATTAAGCGAAGAGGAAACCATAGAACGTGTTCTTTTCATACTAATTTTACTCACCGTTGCGGCTGGAAGAGTTGGCATAGGCTGTGACACAGGCTCCAGACCGATTCTCATGCGTTTCGCGTTGTCGCTCTCATTTTCGCAGGCCGTTGCCAAAATTTGCTCAGCCTGCACGGAGGTCAAGTGTGCCGGAGTGGGCCTCGCCTAAAAAGAAATGCTTGCGTCACGTGATCGTCGCATGCCGAAAACTCGAACTTGACTCAGGCCTCAGGAATTCTTGTGCTTTTTGCGGCCAACCTTTCACAGTTCACAGAAAACACGTCTGACGGAAACAAGTCAACGATACTTTGAAAAAATAATCAACCAACAAATCCACCGCTTTTCCTCAATACATTTCCCGGTGCTTCAAACTTCATTTTCTAAAGTGCAATAATAAAATAATACAGAGTTTCGAACGTAACAAATCGGTATATTTTATTTTAAAAGATATAAAAAATTCCCTAAAAACAAAATAAATTAATAGCAAAGCCTAATACAAAGAATCGATTACATTTCAACAAGGAAAACGTTTCTGCGAACGCAAAATGTTACAAATTCGAAATTAATCGACTACTACTTTCATTACCTGTCACATTAGCAACTGCAAAGACTTCGTTTCAATCAAACCACAACTCACTGCTACCATTTCATAACACATTCTATAATCTCTCTATACCTCTACAATCTCACACCATCACGTTTTCAATCTATAAAACTGTTACCAAACACGTAGAAAACGAATCTCCGTTCATTTTCCAGTGGAAACATACAGGCCTCTAAATTCAACTCATTCGAAATTCGAACTTACCGCGTCCCAAGGCGCGCCCTCCCGGCCCCGTTTGTTCCTCCGACAGCTCTTCAGGTACGTTCTGATCCTCTTCCTGGCCCTCTCCGCGAACTCTGGGAACTGTCTGGTGCAGCTGTCGATGATCGCCTGTATTTTCTCCTTGGGTTGCTTCGAGATCGGCACGATGCGGTCCAGGTTCTCGTCGACGAACAGCCTGACGAACATCTGTAAAGGCGCGGGTCGCGGGCCGGCCGCCGCGGTGGAAATGAATTAAAACGGTGCGCCTCGTTGGGGAAGGAATTAAGAATTTCGCGGCAGTGGGGAGCGCGTCGGGCTTCTATTAAACTAATTGTAATTAATAAAGGAGCTAGCTGCTCCCGGTGGCCAGGCTCACGGCCATCTGCGGGCCACCGTCGGATTTTAGGTTCAGAGCGCGAAATGAACGGTGGCAAGAAGAAAATAGGGGCAAGGGAGCTAAAAGAAGAGAATGAGCGGCAAGGAGCGGAAGCGTGCCGCCGCGACGCTGGTTTCATAAAATTTTACGATAATTGAGGCTTTTTCGGGGGAAAGTCCGATGCCAGCCGGCAGCAGTTTCATTGGATCTTTCCCCGTGGATTTTTCCCTTTAGGCAGGTTTCCTTGCCGCTGCGAACGCGCGAACAAGTTCGTACTCCTTTTTACGCGGTTACCGCTGGTAATGGCGGCCGCAATAAACTCGCCGTTTCCGGTTTAATGCGGCTCGCGTGGAAGGAAATGGTAAGAACCCGTGCGCGCCGGACGGATTCGATTTCAGGTGTTGCGCGTTCCTCGGGGACGTTTAACTCGGGATAATTAAATGGAAGTAATTGGTAGTAAACGGTATATAATACCCGGGAAACACGCTATTCCACGTCGATGTTTTAGGCGCCGTTCCCGTTTTATTGATTCGATGTTTAGAAGATAATGCACGGAACATGGAAAAGGGTTTCCGGCGGTTTTTCGTGGCGACGAAATAGCCGTTAATGTTGTCGAAGCAGCTTGCGATAGGGAAGTGTGATTATTTTGGAGAATCGTTATTCGTAATCGTTATAAAATGAATTGGAATATTGATTTAAAGATTCTGTAGAGAATAACTTCAAGGAGTGATAGATAATGGATACCTATAAAGGAATTTGTTCTTCTGTGTATTATACGTTGAGTCATACTACTTGACTATACTTGTTGACAATTCTTATAACAATAAATCTAATCAAACCGTTACCGCAATGTAATATAATTAAAATATGAGACAAAGAACCTTTGCACACGTTTCCAACGATTGTTTCAATTTCAAGAATTTTGTTTTAAATAGTTCCGGGTCGATTTAGACATTTCCAATTCCTTCGTAGAATGAACGTAAATTCGTTAACCCGTTGTCTTCCAATATTTTTATCAACTATCTTCTCTAACGCTGCAATACTTCAACAATTAATCAGAGGAAGAAGAACTCTATAGACTCTAATCTTACATCTTCTGTAAGGATTAAATCCACATAAGAGAAAAGCAATACTAAATATCGACTTTGAACACCAAAAGCAATATATTCATCGAACTCAGTTTGAAAACTTCACGAGTTCCACTCCATGTTATAAGACGAAGGGTTATCCGACGCGGTCCCTGCTTCCAGTTCTCCTTCGTCCCGAAAAGAAACCGGCCGCGAGAATTGCTCGGAACGGGGACTCACGTTGAAAGCCTTCAGACGCTCCGGGTCATGATGTCTGGGATCGAGCCTCTCGTCGGCATCCTCGTCGTCGTCGTCCTCGTCCTCTTTATTGCCGCTGCTGCTGGTCTCGTCGTGAGCGCTCCCCGTCCCTTCGCCGCCGGGCGGGCTGGACTCGCGGTCGCGATCCGACCGCGAGGGCGTCGCGGACGATCCTGGCGGCGGTGTCTTCTTTAGTCCCATCGCGTAGGAGGCCCACAAAGATGCCATGTCCTCGCCACCGACGCCGGCCACGGCGCCCAAATTCGGAACTGTACCGGCTGGCATGTCCACCAAATCTGAGGAGCCGTTTCTCGAGTCTAAAATGATCGGAAACGAGATTTTATTTTCATTTTCTGGTAACTGTTAATCCTTTGGGTACTTAGGTATTATACGGACTATTTTTGTTCGCTAACTGAAGGTTAGGTCAGTCGTTTCGGTTAAGTCTGGGCTAGTATTTGTTTAATATTATGATACGTTATTAATATTTATTATTATTATCATTACTATTATTATTTATATGCATCAATGGTTTATTCCCTCTGAAACGGATTAAACCAAGTTTCGAAGTACTGCCTATTGTTCATTTTTTAGAGAGGACGAGACTATTCGAGTTGTTTTCAGGATTATGGTTATTATTATTACTTGTATCTTTATTATTATTATTATTATTATTATTATTAATATTTTATTTCTTAGAAACAAAGGTAGTCCCTATAACACGATGGTACCACTCTTTGTACTTCAGAAGCGAGTTTCAGTCGCCATGCGATTCGATGCAGTAAAATTATAAAATAAGATATCCAACGTCAAATATTATATGATGCATTAACCATGAAACGTTGGAGCAGAACAAGTCTGTTCTTGAATCTATGATTTTTCCCTGCTTTGGAAAGTATCTGTGATGTACCATTAGAAAGTAACGCGCATTTATACTTGTTTTACTAATAATTATACTGTAATTACGCATTATGCTACGAAAAACACACGGCCGATAATGTATCGACAATAAAACTACCTGTCGGGTCGCGTGACCCATTCCTCGTGTTTTCTTTTTGTAATTATTAAAAAGACAACAAATATTTCTCTAAGAAATTATTAAAGAAACTGATTTAGCACAATGCATTGCTTCGACAGATGCACTCTCGGAGTTGCTATAGGGGAATTTCAAAAACTCAATTTAACTGCTCGGTAGTTTTAGCGTTAATAATTCTTCAATCTTTATTTAAAATAAGATGATCAACATTTACGAACCCATACAATGGAATAAAGGAAATTGTCATAGGTCTGAGTTTATATGTATAAAATTCCACCACCCGATCATTTGCTGCAATTATCCATTTTACCGGGGCGAATTGCGGCGTCCGCGTACAGCAAAACAAAGCTCGTCGTTTCGTATTCGCATGAACGCAACCAACCGCGTTACGTAAACTCAGCGTTACATCGTGAACTTTTTTTTCTACGTCCGCGACGGTGTCTGTCAACTTGTTGCGCCCGCTTCGCGAAGACAATACAAATAACTTCCTGGCGGCCCGTGAAACTTGCCCCGCGCTGCCGAGCCGCGGACTCCCTTCGAATCCACGCTTCGTAACCCCGCTAAATAAATCGATGAGACGGTGTTTACTGCCAGCGACGTAACGGGAAAATGTTACAACGCTCTTATCCGGGTCAGTTATCATAAAATCGAACCAGGGAATTTTCGAATATAGCGGGGCCTCGACTATCCGAATCGATCAAGCGATACAACGACGCTGGGGTAATCGAGTTCCTTGGGTCAAGTCGAACCCTTTGTGTCTCGAGGATACCTTCGGTGCCGTTTTTATTAAAATGCTGTCGCGCAGCAAGTACGGTTAAATTTGTGATTTTTCATTTAACTTGTGTACTTGCGAATTTAATTTGACTTCTTTATGCGTTTAGTTTGTGTTATTTAAATAGTGTTAGAATGTTTTTGAATAAAGATAGATTCTAGAAAAATTTAATATTATAATTTGTTACATAAGGAATAATAGAAAAACAAAAATTGGAAATGAATAATAAGTGTATTTAAAAAAATATTAGTTTAAAGATTAATGGATTGCTTTATGGGAAATTATAGAATGAAAAATTGAAACAGAGATCGTATTAATGATGTATAATTATATTGTAGTGTTTGAAAAGAGACCATCGATTATTTTATATTGTTCTTTACGCCAGGGGATAAGTGCTCGAATAATTTGTATGAAACGAATAATTTGTATGATAATAAACAATAAACTGTAAATTAAACAAGATTTATACGGTATACGTTAATCATTTCCACAGTCATATCACTTTAACATATTTTTCATCCAGTTTTACATTAATAATATTATCATCAACTACCAGGTGTAATATTTTCCCTTCATTCTCTTCATTTCACTGTTTTCTCCGTCCTCTTTTTAAATTATCTTTAACGATTTTAAGAACACAAAGAAACAACAATGAAGTTCAGAAATGATTGAATGGCGCTGTACAATTCTTGACCAGTGATGAAATAAATTACCCTCTCTTTTTTCTGTGATTGGATTGGAAAATCTCCACCGGTTCGGTGAATCAAGAAATAACGAGACCGTGGGCGGTATTTATGCGGCGATATAACAACGATGAACGCGAACCACTTTTCGATCGCGCGACAACGTTGATTAGGGACTATCGAAGCAACGTTTCAGTTCGTCATGCTGATATCTGAGCATGACCATTAGAGTTATCCCAATTTATGATACGGGTACGACAGAATGAACACCGTTTCCGACACGTTCATGGTGTAAATGCTCGAACAACTGTGACCCCTTAATCTGTGATTTATTTCGCAATTGCACTCACAACAGTCACATTGTTATTCATAATTTACTAGAAACAAAAGAGAATTTCATATTCATATATATCCATGTTTACTTTAAAATGTAACCATTAAAAATAGAAATATAATATTTAATCACGAGATTTTTCTCGTGTGTCTGACATGATATTGCGTGATAAAGAGCTAAGGGTTCTTACAATTTCAACCGAAAACTTCGCAATTAATCCTCATATGTCCTATGCACATGAAAAATGCTTCCTATGAAACTACGCGAAAATTAAAATTAAATTAACGAAACGATGTAATCTGTATGTAAATTGAAATGTATCAGATACTGATATTTTATTTATTTCGTGATTAGGCGCAGAAAAATTATTTTATTGGTCCAAAATAATATTTTCTTTCGATTGAAGTTTTGCTATGGCGCAAGGGGTTAAGAGTATTAGGGGTTAACAGAATTTATATGAGACGTGAAGAATGAATATTGAAAGTGAAGTGTAGCTTTTCAAGTGTGCTTATTCTAAAAAGTATACAAAAATTATATATGACAAAATTTAAGAATTTACTCGATTTCATTTTTGGATCAACAAAAATTTGTGTTATTGCTGTATTTGTTATTATTGCTTGAAATAACATATTACTGTTATTTGAAACTCCACTAGAATTTTTGTCAGAGTTTGTGAGTAAATATTAAAATGCATTTGAGGGATGTGAAATATTTATATTGATACTTGTAAAAATGGACGTTCATAGATTTTATTTGGTAGAAACCATGTGTTAGAGTGAAAATTTACTGCAAAACCATTCACCATAACAAAATTCAGAATCGTAAGGATTTTCGATTTCCAAGTTTATCGGGGAAATAATGGATACATAAACGAAGAGGAATTATTACGCTGGCGAGAGCCGGAGGACATCTTAACGGTTCCTAAACGAGGTGGTCACCATCTTTGACAACGAGCCAGACCGTTATGCCCATTAGAAAGCCTTTTCCACCTACAACTTTTCTACGTTCGTATTATTCGATATGAAACAGGAAGCGAAAGCGCCGATTAAAACAGCGCTCATATATTAAACTTACTAAATCTAGTCAAATTACATTTCAATAAAAGTTAGTTCAGAAGGTTTTATAATTTTCAAACATAATAAGTTATTTGAAACACACGCATAAGAAACATTAACATTATTCCCTAGAAATCTGCTTCCATACAAAAACCAGTCTTCTAGCAGACTAATGTAAACAGTCGTACTTAAAAATTTTCAAATTCATTTTCGCAGCCAATAACTAAAATTAAAAATGCGTTCTTAGTATTTTAAAAGGTGTTCAAAATAAATAGTTTCGAATATTCCGTAAATTTATTATTCCAAAATATTTCATCTATTTATGTATCTTCCCATACCTTTTTTGTATTGCCAGCTTGTACAGTCTTTTCGTGCCAAGAGGTAAACGCTCGTTTAGTATCCAATAAATAAATGATGACAAACGAATTCGGCCATTTCTGCATGGGATCTCGCGGAGTTATCCCGAACGCGGTCCCCAGCATGTCGTGGCTGCTAGTATTTACAGCGTCTCCCAGGAGTGTATCCTTTCCGGAGAGCGCAAAAAGACCGACCTGTTTCCAAAACCTGTAATAAGTCTAAGTAGATCCCTTCCACGAGGTGCAAGAAAAAGGCAAGCTGGCTCCATCGTCACGATCCCGGGAGAGAGAATGTACGGCAAAAGGTGCTTTCACGAGGATATCGGCGAGGACAGGTACAAGTCCGACCGGCAAGAGGCTACACGTGAACCCACGAAGTGTTGCGGATCGTGGGTAGGGAGTGCCGCAGGGGAACCGTAAAGAGGCTACTCACGGACTTTTGCCTCCTTCGAGGCTCGATTAGAAAAGGTGTACCGCAGACCCCCGGTTTCTTCCCCCTCCACTCTGCCTGTCCCACTCGTTTTCTTTCTCCCTCTTTCCCAAAGGTAATCTATCATTTCTCCGGATTTGAAAATACAAGAAGTAGATTCTCTGTGAGAAGCTAAATCGAAAATGTACAATGAAATTTTGTTGTTCGTGTGTATTTGAGGAAATTAAGAAAACTAAGTAATATGTGATGAGAATGATAGTAGTTGCTTAGTTTTTCGATGAATATATAATCTACGGAGTATTATGCCAAATGTGAATACAAATGAACAATGCAGAACACAGTTTGTCCAATGGAGTTCTCGTTTTGAAAACAACTGAATTTCAATGTGTTTAGTTGATTAAATTCGGTGCTCGGTTAATACTTTAAATGGATTTTCTTGAAGACGAAGCATCGAGCGAATAGAGTTATATTTCTTGTAGTTCAAAATCATATATTCTGCATTTTCAACTTATGTGTTTCTTATTCCAACGTAATTTCCCAACTAAGTGCCGAATAAAATTCAAGCATTTTCAAAATTCAAGAAACTCCGCCATCTAATCGTACAAACCGCTCATACGATGATCCAACAAAAATGTGCATTCAGAGTTCAACAAA